CATATTCGGAATTAAAATAATTTTACGTATGCGGAATTCAGAGTTAATAATTTCACATACGCGGAATTAAAGTTAATTTTACATATGCGGAACTGAAATAATTTACGTGTGCAGAATTCAGAGTTGATTTTACATATGCGGAATTGCAATTAATTTTACGTGTGCGGAATTGTGGGTTAATTTTCCATATGCGGAATTGCAATTAATTTTACGTATGCGAATTGCAGTTAATTTTATGCGTGCAGAATAACATTAAACGTTTTTCCTCATATGTTTATTTGTGAATCATTCATTTTCACATACAAAAAAATATCTCTTTGTTGATATAAATCTTTTTTCCGTAACATTTCATCCATCTCTATCATTCAAATCCTGAATATAACTATTACTATTCCGGAATTTGAATCATTCTGGATCCTGCACACAAAACATTTTAATTGTTAAATATATCAATGCTGCATACTTTTTTAGGCATATAAGATTGATGAAAAAGAAGAAAGGCGAAGAAATAAATGAATTGATTTAAAAAATGGGAAATAGTTCAAAGGTCATTATCATCAATCTTTCTCTTTGATGAAATAGTAATAATAGTAGTAGTAGTAGTGGTAGTAGTGATAGTGATAGTAATTGGAATGGAAATAATGATGATAAGATAAAATGAGCAATTTCACACATTTTCTATTTCCATTATAAAATAATGGAAGAAAGGAAGGGATGACTCATCAATCCATTCATTCTTTTAAGTGTCACATTTCACGAATTATAAGATCCCATTATAGCTGACCTAATCCTATCCTACTCTATCCTATCCAAACACTACACTACCATTCTTGTCAACACCCATCTGGCATTTCGATTATTTTAATTGACTGCTAGAGAAGCATTAGTCATCATTATTCATCCATTCATTTAACTCCCTCAATATGACTCAATCACAATTCAAATAAAATGCCAACGCCCAATTCTTGAGATTATTTAAGAAATTGGATGAAGTGGTATTGTGATATGATTAATTATTATCATTTAAAAGTATTACTTTATTCCTTATCATATCATATTGTATTTCATAATGATATTTTTTTATATGTAATTATATGAATGGATGGTGACATTGATTAGAGGAATGGTAGTGTCACCATCCGTATGATTTGTCAAATGTGTTTTCAAATTAAAGAAAAAAAAAAAGGAAAAAAAACAACAGAGATAGAGAGAGGGAGAGAGAGAGAGAAGGAGGGAGAGGGATAAGAGAGAGAGAGAGAGAGAGAGTA